ATACCATGACTCACTGCAGTAACCCATGTCCCTAATTAAGAGCTTAAGTTTCAAGGAGACTTTTTAATCAAATTTATTATACATCTAAAATTGGTTTATTGTCATGATTTTTTGTGTTTTATTCGTCTGGCTAAAGACATTGATATTATGCTATTTATTAGTAGCATACAGTAATGTTTTGTTTATATTTAACAGTATATGCAAGATAAGATAATAATGAAGGCAAAAGGAAGGTTTTTAAACATTATACTTTCTGTCATCATGAACTGACTGTGACATGATACATAGCAGAATGTTTTATCTTGTAAAACATACTTGAATGTTAGATTGTCAAATGAAGTCACTTAGCTTACTTTTAGCTTTCTTGAACACTTACGTATGAAATATTAGTTTTATTATGTAGTAAATCTGATTATAAAATAATGTGAAGTATACTACTGCTAATTATGAATATTTCATTGGCCCTTTAATAAGCCATAACCCAGGGTCGAAACAAACTTTAAGTTTTGTAACAATTTGGTTAATCTATGTTGAAAATTTGGAAACAAACATGAAAATTCTGTATCTAACTCAAACAGTATACTCTATGAAATTGCAGATTTTGTGTGAAATCGAAAAAAGACTAACATAAGTGTCAGATTTGTGTATTTTTCTTAAAATGTTATTTTTATGCATAAACAAAACTGATACTGTTACACAATGTTTTTCATTCACTAATACTGTAACTAAATTGATTTGTCAAATGTACTGTAAATAGTAAAAAACTGTGAATTTCATGGTGTGATGTCACATGTTGTAGTGTATTAATTTAGTTGTTACATAATATTTATATCATTTATCACAATAAAAGTACTATGGTTTAGCTTAGCATGTCATTGTGCTGCAAAGTCCTCCCTGTGACAGTTGTGTGCATACATGTAATGTAAAGGAGACAATAAAAATGTTCAATGTTTTATTAAAGAAATAGTAGCATAGGCATACAAAAAAACAAAACAATGGAGCATGTTATCTTATCTTCACTTCCTTTAGGTTGATTTCTACTTATTTGTTATTTTATTCTATGTCACAACTATTTTTCTTTAACTTGCAACATCAAACCATCTTTCCATTTTAATCATATATGTTTAATGAGAGAATAAAACGCATCTTTCACAACAGTGCTGAAAGATATGTCTTACATTACTTTACTTTTTATGATGATTATGTACGAAAATGTTATTTAATCCATTGACTGCTGATTAACCATATAGGGTATGGTCTGCCTCTGGCAGTTGAATAAGAGTGTGCTGTATACTGTGTACTAGTCTCAAAATTCCTCGCTTGTTTAAAGCAGCCTCAGTCAAAGGGTTAAGTGTGCTTGTACCAGTACATAACATTTCAATTTGCTAAATCTGAAATGAACTAGCAGTTTTCAGTGAAAACATAAATAATGATTCAAAATCGCTGGATATGGGCACAAAATTATGAATAATATTTTTAAAGATAAAAAAGTTCTATTTTTCGTTAAACTGATATAGGTATTTAAAATGTCACAAGCTTTTTGTGTTTATTTGCATCCCCAATGGAACTTATTCCAGAAATGACCCACGCTCCAAACTTACATCTGCTGTCCTATCACCTTAATCTGAGCGTGGGAACTTGTGTTGGGCAGAATGCACACCGGAGAACCCATGTCACCGGTTAGCCTAAAACTGAATACCGCTTAAAAAACAGAAATACGTCACTATTTGCATTCAAACTGCTTCAGCATTGTTGAAGTATCTGACATAAAATTATGCAAAGAAAGTACTAGCCCATCAAGGTACCAAACTAAATATATGTACGTTTATTTTAGCTGATGTTTCTATATCATTAATGTTACATCTGCATTTTGCTTGGGTTGTTAGAGATCATTGAACAGTTACTTGCTGTTCATCATAAAACTTGAACAAATTTCTTCAGTGATTAGTTTAAGTGAATACAAATAATTAATCAAATTAATATTCAACTGATACCCAAAAGGGTAAATTTGTGAATGAAACTCTGTAAGTGGTAGTGAACTAATATTAAGGTCTAGGCCTTGGTCTGTATGGCAGATTATCAATGCTTTTAGTACTGTGACCACTAAACCACCACCTTTGTACTGGTGTTTTTTTTGTCAAATAGAATAATTTCTGTCCTTTTCAATTCATCAAGTCTTTCAGTACTGAGCACACATCTTTATTCAGTCTTGACCCTTTTCATAATGGAAAATTCTCATTCATAAGCAGATTAATTAAAGGATAAATGTTTGTAAGGTGAATGTTTTTTATAATCTCCCCTTCATCAATCCTCTTGTCTCACTCTTTGCCAAACAGTAAGGGGAATGACACTTTGAAAGTGCTGATTTCTGGCCATTTATAACTTGAGATCTTTCCATTTATTTTGGTCATGATTGGTTTTACAACCAGGATTTTTTAACACCACAGTTGATTACAGGAATTGGAATTCCTCAGTACCATACTGCCTGTGGATTTATCAATTTATATGAATTTAATAATGAATTATACTAATAATAATGTTTTAACACGCAAAAGTGATATTGAACTACACAATGTGTAAATATAAACAATTCTGTCTGAGATCACTCCCCCAGAATTACTTATAAAATAAAATTGTAACTGAAGTGTTATGATTTAAGTGTTATTAAAAGGTTTTTGGATAAAGTAATAAAGAATTCCAAATTGCTAACCCTAAATTTTGATTTTGAACCTTTAGTTAAAATTTTATAGGAGTGTTAAACTTTAAATTTCTTGCCTTTGCAAATACAACTTGTTAATATGAGAAAAAAAGCTAGAAATCTGTAAATTTTCTAAAAATTTAAAAATGGTAAAGTTTTGAAGTTGATGATGTCAAAAACTGTAAAAATTAACTTTTTTTCTTTTGTTTTTTACAATAGTTTAGTTTGTGAAGCTAGTAAAATCATAATTATATTGTCTGAAAAAGGGATTTTCTTTTTTTGTAATCCATTTGCCATAGAGCTCTTTTTCCTTCCTCACGTGGAAGATATTGTTACGTCTCCGTTTGTTAATTAACTTTCCGTAACTTCGTTCCGACGAAACTTTAGTGACACAAGTCCTTACTTAATAAAACTGGTTTATTCTTTCCGAATACAACTCTGCAATACACTTATTTTCAACAGTCGCTCTATAACAAACGCTATATCAACGAACGTCATCAATATTTCTGACTGTAGTTCAATTACTCACTATCTACACACACATTATTCTGTCACGTTGTCACCCTCTTTTATATACCAGACTACCCTATATCTAGTAAATGCTAGAGCATTCGCCAAGGTACAGGAGAGTTCTAGAAAGCAGAGGGCATGAGAATAGTCACGTGATCTCGCTGACGCAACACTGCCACCTCCTTTAATATTGTTCGTGACGAACAATAACCACATACAATAAACCAATAACAATTAACTGTACAGAATTACAAACACAAT